CCCCCCCTCTCCCAACCCACTTCCCCCCATCAACCCTCAGTTTGTTTTGTGAGATTAAGAGTCACTTATGGTTTGTCTCCCTCCCAATCCCATCTTGTTTCATTTACTCTTCTCCTACCCCCTTAACCCCCCATGTTGCATCTCCTCTCCCTCATATCAGGGAGATCATATGATAGTTGTCTTTCTCCGATTGACTTATTTCGCTAAGCATGATACCCTCTAGTTCCATCCATGTCGTCAATTGTATGCTCTTTTATTTCCATTAATTTTCAAGTTGCATTAGGGGAACCAAGCCTATAATTAAAGATTAGCTTATGAAAGCATTAACTTTTTTCTTTCAAATATTGTTTTAATCTCTGTTTAACAAGCTTTGTTGGTTAATTCAAAGGACAAAAATGAGTAAATGTGTAACTAGAACTATAAGAGAAAATAATACTGCTAAACTCTTAGACAACTATTTTCTTTTTTTTTTAAGTTATCCTAAATTGTTTTTTTATTACTTATTTTTATTAACATATAATGTATTATTTGCCCCAGGGGTACAGGTCTATGAATCATCAGGCTTACACATTTCACAGCACTCACCATCTCACATACCCTCCCCAATGTCCATAATCCAACCAACTATTTTCTTTTTAAGCAGTGTTACCTAATATAAGTGATTCAAAGAAAATATCAATTTAAAAGTTGTAATTAATAATTTAACATATTCCAATCTTCCTGTCTCACACAAAGTAAATGTAAATAGGGAAACTGCAGAAATTATGGGGATTTCTTGTTTGTAATTTAAAAAGAAGCCACTTACCTGGTTTTCCTCATCAGGTGGCAACAACTTTTGGTTTCTTGAAATTGCTAACATTTCTATAAGTTCTCTAAAAAAGAAAAACAAAAAACCGAAACAACTTTGCAAAATAAATACAATAGAAGCTTTATCAACTGATCTCTACCTAACTGACTTGCTGGACTCATGGTACCCACAGCATGCGGAGTATTCACAGCCCCTGCCCCACTGTGACTTGGGCTCTCACCAGCAAGACTCAGTTGTGTTTGTTACCAGATCCATTTATGCAAGTTTAACCTATTACTATAATTACATAAATTAATATCCAGTATATAAATACCAATGAAATATGACTGTCAACAGAAAAGAGTTGTTTAAATAAAACACCCACTTACACTGGGTGGAGTTAGGGAAGGCTTCTCTGAGTGAGAAAAGTCAGCCACAAAGAAGAATGCTTGTAAAAGACATAGTTCAGGGGTCCAAAGATGGGTCTGAGAAGTGTGGTCAGAATACAGTAGGTACTGGGAAGCAGGATACAAAAATGAGGACATGGTTAGGGAGGGAGAGGCCAGATCATGTTAGGGCTTTTTAGGTCACAGCAAAGGACCAGTATTTCATTCCAGGTACAGTGAAAAATGACCAAATATTTTAAACAGGGAAATGACATGAACTGATTTATGTTTTTAAGCAACCTGCTAAGCTATCTGGAGAACGGATTTTAAGAGGGCTAGAATGGAAATCAAGTTAAGCAGCTTCTGTAGTATTCCAGGCAAAAAATGACATTGGCTTTGATGAAGTCCTAGCCACTAAGATGTAGCAATAGTAATGCAAACAGGTAAAACATGTACAGACTCAGAATATACTCTGGGGGGCGCCTGGGTGGCTTAGTAGTTGGGCATCTGCCATAGGCTTGGTCCTGATCCCTGCGATAGAGCCCCAAGTAGGGCTCCCTCTCAGCGGGAAGCTTGCTTCTCCCTCTCTCACTCTTTCTCTGTCAAATAAAGAAATCAAATCTTTAAAACACACACACACACACACACACACACACACACACACACACACACACGTATGTATGTGTATGTGTATATATATTGGAGGTAGAGCCGATAGGACTTGCTGATGGATTAACAGACATTTTATGAAGACAGCATGTTATATTAACCTTTTTCTTTACCCCATAGATGAGATATAAACAGCTGAGAACCTCGAGTCTACACAAAGGCTGGTTTCAGTGGTGGGAGTGGTGGGAATGGGAAGTATGGTGGGAGATGTGGAATGAGCCTTTTTCCGCTTTTCTTGCAAATCTGGGAGTATATATCCACAGAAAACCTTAGAAGAGCTTGCCTTAGGTACAGGAGTACAGTGGGAAGGAAAAAGCTGTAAGACTTAGTGCTGTTCAGTAGCAGTCTAGAACAAAGTGGAAACCTCTGTCCTCCCCAATGGTAAAAAGAGGTTGAAGGAACCCCTGAGCCCACTCTCTGGTTACAGGTGTGGGAGATAGAGCCCTGTCTTGCTACAGAAGAAGCTGTACTCCTGGCATATCAAATTAGGATCCACCCACAATTCCCCATAGAAATATAATTTACTTGGAGGTTAGATCCCATATTATTAGTGGTATACTACACTTCAGGTAAATTATAGATAAACAGATTAATAGGCTGGTGTGGAAACCTCAAGACTCCTATCAACATGGTTTCTGAAGGACAATTGAGTTCTGAGTCACAAACATGTTAACAAAAACTTGTAGTGGGGCGCCTGGATGGCTCAGTCGTTAAGCATCTGCCTTTGGCTCAGGTCATGATCCCAGGGTCCTGGGATCGAGCCCCTGGGCTCTCTGCTCAGCGGGTAACCTGCTTCTCCCTCTCCCTCTGCTGCTCCCCTACTGGTGTTCCCTCTCTCGCTGTGTCTCTGTCAAATAAATAAAATAAAATCTTTTAACAAAGAAAAGAAAAACTTGTAGACTATAATTTGTGTTTCTATTTTTAAAAATTCCTCCAAAGATTTACCTCATTCTATCATATTTTACAAAGTAATAAATATACTGAAAAGCTATATAATCAAGTAACAGCAAAAAATATATCCTAAATTTCAAACGCACTATTTTTTAAAGTTAACAGGTTACATTAGTTTTTCTTTCCAATTTTTCATAAAAAAAAAAGCAAACAAGAGAAAAATTTCATTAAGAGGATAATGACACATTTCACAGATCACAGAAGCAGTATATGTAGCTATATCTAATTGCTAATATAATGGGATTTTTTTGAAAGCCAATCACACTGGAATAGCCTCATTCTGTGAAGTGTCAATGAGTCTCGGGGCAAACCACAAAGTGACATCTCTCCCACTACCACCAACAACCATCTCCAGGGTCACAAAAGAGATAAATTTCACTCACTTCTGTCACCCAGTCTTTCTTTAGAGATGAACAAATAAAATAATATGTCAGATTAAGTCATGAGAAAATTGGAGGAAAAGAAAAACAAACTTTTATTTTTTTATTTTTTTTTTAAAGATTTCATTTATTTATTTGACAGACAGAGATCACAAGTAGGCAGAAAGGCAGGCAGAGAGAGAGAGGAGTAAAGCGGCTCCCCACTGAGCAGAGAGCCCGATGTGGGGCTTGATCCCAGGACCCTGGGATCATGACCTGAGCCGAAGGCAGAGGCTTTAACCCACTGAGCCACCCAGGCGCCCCAAAAAACAAACTTTTAAAGTAACGGTTATTACCAAGCTGCAAGGACCCCAAGAAAGAAGAAGCTTATCTCTAGTTTGTCAACAGATTCAGTGAGGACTGCAAATCAATGACAAATCGAAGTGTCTTTAGCATTCCTGGGAAAAGGGCAATGGAACTACAGCTACGTTTAGAGAAAGCAAAAGAGAACTCAGCACCTCAACTAATCATGCACAGCTAGAAAGCTGAGGTGGGAAAGTTTCAGAAACAGATTCTTGATACATTTCATCAAACAGAAAACCCTATACTGGGGAATTAAGGAAACAATCAAAAGAGGGGGAGAGATAAACCGATCAATTTACAAGACAATTTCAATTTGGTCTCAAATTTTACACAATTGATAAATTACTTATTTATGTTATCTCAAGTGGAAGAGTGCATGACAATCATGCATATGTACTCCTGTTGGTACCAAGAGCGTCAAGAAAACACTTCAGGTATACAGAGCTATAGCCAAATAATCCAGAGGCAAGATCTTAAGACTGACTACCAAGCTGTCCAATGTCAGAAGAAATTTTCAAAGACCTTTACCCTGTATGCCTAGGTTCAAAAAAAGTTTCCGAACTTGAGGAATATGAAATATATACCAGGTCGCAAAACAGACAAATTATGTTACTGCATGTAAACTCAGAAAAGAAATGAATTTACTGGGCTCCAGAGTAGAAGGGTGAGAAGTAATAGTTCATTGAATATACTAAGACAAAGATTTGAAATTCAAAGACCAAGATTCACTCAGAACAAAAGGCAGCAGCCACTACTTCCCAAAGGGGGTGTCACTTCTTCAGAAGTAAACATTATTTACGGAAAAGTGACACACTAGACTAGACATTTGGACTGTATCTCACTGAGCATCAGGAACCTACCAAATCTTTTAAAGCAGAAAAAAAGTGACATAAGATGCTTTTAAAAAAAGATAGCTCTGCTGTGGCAATATAGAAAGCACAGAAGCATAAAGCCAAGTGAAACTGTAAGGAGGCTGCACCAAAAGATAGGACGGTGGGGATGGGAACAATAGGTCAAATCTGAGCAACCTTTTAGGAGGAAGAATCAAAACAATTTCAGCATCCAAGTGAATGTGACAGAGTTAAAGAAGGCTTCAACTTGACAAACTACCACGAACGATGGCAGAATAAGGGGAGTGACATCCAACTTCTATCTCTTCCATACTCGCTGAACTCCAGCCACCCCAAACTTGCAACTGCACCAAGTCGCGAGTGCTCGTGCCTCCAGGCGTTTGCACCTGCTATTCCAACTACCTGCCACCTACAGAATGCGGTGAACTTCTTCTTCCCATGCAGTCCTTTCTCCGGGAAGCCTGCCCTGACTACAACTGAGACGGGAACCTACAGTACTCGAGTTTCAGTAACCCGGAGCGCACACCTCTGTTAAGAACAGGCTCCGCACCATGGTGTCTGTTTACGGCTGTCACTTCCCCTTGACAATGGGGTGCTCTGTGTCCGCAACTAGTCTCCCCCTCACTACCGTCTCCCAGCGTTTGGGACCCGGGGGGGGGGGTGTCCTTAAACGTCTGTCAAGAGTCCGTGGACGAAGGTACTCACACCTGGCGACCTCTAAGGTCCGCTACGGTTCTGACGACGTCGGGGTTCCAGCGTCACTCATTTCTAAAATGTCCCCTAAGGAAGGGAGGGGGGTGCCGTCTCGGAGTGACGGAGGGCTGCGGACGCCGAGTCCACGATACTCGCTCACCGTCTTTGGGAGCGCGGCCTCCCCGCGGAGCCCCAGAAACGAACCCACCCTGCCACCCAGGGCGGCAGATCCACAGTCAGTCCTCCCGGCCCAGCCCAGTCAGGCCCTCAGACCGATGGCATTACCTCGACAAGACCTCCAGATCTTCCAGCGCAGACAGCAGTCGCTCTCGCGTGCTGTTACCGCCGGCCGCTCCAGAACCGCCTCCCGGCCGCTCTTTCTCCTTCTCTCCACTTGAAGACGCCGCCATGCTCTCCACAGGACCGCGGCTGGAGACTGCGCAGCTGAGTCCCTACGAAGAGAGGCGGGCTCCGGAGGCGGAAGTAAGGGTCACCGAGGCGGGGCGGGGTAAGGTGGGGTGGTGGTGGTGGCGGTAAAGAGGCCAGGGCTACAGCGCCACCTATGCACCTGGAGATGCACTGCGGGCGGCGGCGCCATCTGATGGGCCACAGAGGGGAAGTTCTCAGGTCCAACCCAGGCAGGAGAGCCAGAAAACAAAGGCACAAGGCGGTCAGGTTGCCCTGTGCCTTATGGTTTTCAAGTAGGAATGGGAGATTCAACGGATCTTAAGCATTTGAGGAAATTGCATAATGACCTACGACTCCTATTAGTTTCTTTGTGAAATGGGCTGGCCTCAGCATTAACCTACATCTTTAGTCTGCATCTCTATAATGCTAACCCCACCTTCCTGTTAGGCCTCTCCTAGAGGTTGTAAGCACCCTATGACAGGAGCCATAATTTGTCTTTTTTTTTTTCTTTATTGTAGTAAAATATACATAACATAAAATTGACCGTGTTAATCATATTTAAGTGTACAGTTCAGTGATATTAAGCTCATTCATGTGGTTATGCTACTATGACCACCACCTATAACCTTACCATCCATAACCTCTTTCCATCTTGCAAAACTGTAACTCTGTGCCATAACAACTCCCCATTCCTTCCTACCCCAGCCTCAAACAGCCACCATTCTACTTTTTCTCTCTCTCTCTGAATTTGACTACTCTAGGGACCTCAAATAAATGAAATGATACAGCATTTGTCTTTTGGGGATTGCCTTATTTCACTTAGTGAATGTCTTCCGCTTTCATCCCTGTTTTAGCATGTGTCAGTATTTCCTTCTTTTTCAAGGCTGAATAATATTCCCTTCCATGTAGATACCACATTTTGTTTATCCTTTCAGACACTTGGGTTACTTCTACATTCTCATAATCCATCTTTATAATTGTATCTCTCCCAAGAAAGTGTTTTGTTCATTGATTGAGTTCAACTCACTGTTGAATGAGTCAAGATAACATGTAAGTGGTAGTTTATGAAAATGGTTTAAATAATCAATATAACATAGATTCCAAATTAAAGCCAAAACTCTACCTTAGCCCACTTTCCTGGAGAGAACACTATAGTTGGGGACTTTCCCTACCAGGAAAACTCAAAGCTGCAACAGTATGGGGAATGCGGGTTCTGTATCAGGTTAGGGTGTGAGATTTTAAAAGACAAGATGGAGAGATGTCACCTACAGAACAGCTGGGATTAAGGCAGGAGTACTTGTATCCATCATTCCATCATCCTGTCCTCAGGCCTGTTCTTTTGGAAATGCTGAGCCTTCTTCCTGCTGGGCACCCAGACTTGAGGATTTTCTTGGGGACTCATGCTAAAAAAAAAAAAGCCATTCATAGCAACTGCTGTATGATACAGAATGCTGATTTATTCACTTACAAGGAAAAGTAATAATGCCAAACACAATTTTACTTACAGACAAATTATACAGGAAGAAAAATATCACCAGAATGTTGCTTTGGTAAATTTGGATTTGAAAAAATGAAGATAGATAAAAAAATTAACCAATGCAACCATCATCAGTATTTGTATCTCCATAGCGTAGGGGTGTTTGTATCAAAGAAATTGGAATATTTGTGCTCATAGGTCAGTGTTCTTCTTCCCCAGACAGTGCAAGAGACCTAAGGACACCTTTTCTTTGCCAACCATCCCCTACTTCTGCTCTTGGCTAACCCTTTCTCTGAATATAGTCAATTGTTAGATAATGGAATATGTTAGATTTAAGCTTCCTAATGACATTTGTATTCTAAACATGCTTCTCAGTAGCTCTGGTCAATAATTTCTCATGTTAAGTTTCAGAGGGGCTTAACTCTTGAAGTCTGTGTTGGTTTTGTTTACTCAGTTCTCACAGGTTTATCTTGGGTCATGATTCTGGTGGGAGGAGGGGAGATATCCTATTAGTGTAGCTTCCACATAAAAATTCTGGGAGGACTCTCATCAGTTAAAAATTACCAATTATAGGTCCTACTTTACAGGCATGGACGGTCAGTAGGTGGACAGTATATGTGTGTTGTGAACTCCAGTCCTCCTCAGATTTACTACAAAATCATATGCACATTGAACATTGTCCACAGACTGAAAAGTAACAGCATTTTCTACAAGTATACTCTTTTGCAAACTGCAGATTCTGGTGTGATAAATAAAATATGAATTATTTTATAGATATTATAATTAATATGAATATTATATGTTTTAATAGTATTTAGATAACTAATTCATAGTAATTCTGAATGTTGTTTCTCAATCTATAGATTCAAAAGGGTAAGTACTACCTTCTTGTGAAATATTATGTATTTAACACACCAAGCCCTGGTCTAAGCATTTTTTATAAAATGAACTCAATTAATTTTCACAACAGCTTCTAGAGGGAAGTACTGTTACCGTCTTTACATTGCAGATGTTGAAGTCGAGAAAGCAGAGAAATTCAGAGACTTGTCTGAAATCATACAGCTAATAAGTGGCAAAGCTGGGATCTGAACACAGAATCTGGCTCCAGGGTCTATGCTCTCAGCCACTGGTTATCCTCTTTTTAAATTATTATTATTTTTTTTTACAAACTTTATTTAACACTTCATGAAGTGGACAGTCTTCTTTTGGAGAACTGCCTGTCTTTCTTTTTAAAGAAAGAGGAGTCTTCATACATTGGAAAAGGGTTGGGAACCTCTGGTCTAAAATGCAAGCACTTGCGAATGCACAGTTTGGGATTTTGAGTAAAAAGCATCTATAAACATTTGGTGTGGAGGTTTGAGTATGCAGCAGGAAATTCAACCGGCCTATCCCTAAAAGTCTGCAGAACAGGGTGACTACATGTATTATGTGTATTTTTATACATTATTTTTCATTTTTATCAAGCAATCTATATATAAATTTTAAAAAGTCAAATATCGCTCAGAAGCTACCAAAAAACAAAAAGCTCTCGGTCACACCTCCTCAACCCCCATATCCTGTGACATCCTGCTCTCCCTAGTGGCAGCTTCTCTGCACATTCTTAACTGTTTCTTCTATGCTTTCTTTCCCTATTTTAAAGTAATTGGCATGTTTTCTATATCTCTATTCAACTCTTTGAGAAATTTCTTTCCTGTTATGTTGAATAAGGAGTTCATCTCTCCTTCATGCCCCATTCCCCTTCTTCTGGCCTCTCAATGGATAGAATCCAATTTTTCGTTAAATCAATAGTCCAGTCCTTCCTTGCTGCACTATTATTTATATATAACTATGTAACTATTATTTATTTATTTATCTCAAATAAATTTGAAAAATAAAATGGAGAAGAACAGAAAATGTCTTGGACATCAAAGCACATTGCACTGACTTGTGTGAACTTGTCAGTTACATATTTATATGTGTCTGTACTGAGTCAAAAATCAAGTATATATTTTTACTGTGGATTGAAAAAGTTTGCAAGCATCGGAGAGTTAGGAGGATACCAACCCTACCTCTTAGAAAAACAGCTCCTTCCCCCTAAGGCTCCCAAAGGGAGAATCTGTATAAATTTTGTATTCTGGGGACAGAAAGTTAAAGCAAACACACACAAATAAAGTGTATGTTGAGATGATTCTCTGGGATGCATTGCACAGATGGACCATGCTGTGGTTTAAATTGTGTGACCTCAAAATTCATGTAATGAAGCCCTCATACCCCAGTACCTCCAAATGTAACTGCATTTGGAGATAGGGCCTTCAAAGTGATTAAGTTAAAATGAGGCTGTTAGGGTCGTCCTGGTCTAATCTGATCGGTGTTTTTACAGAAATATGTGAACAGCCAGAAGGTGACCTTCTGCAAGCCAATGAGACAAACCTCAGAAGAAACCAAACCGAACCTTGGACTTCCCACCTCCAAAACTGTGAGAAAATAAACGTCTGTTGTTTAAGCCAGTCTGGGGTATCTTGTTATAAGAACCTTAAAAGACTAATGCAGAGAGGTTGCAAATCAATGGACATCTGAAGATTTCTAAACAATGCCTTGCATATACCTTTGACCTCCCTGCCTTTATTTTTATTTGTCCCTTGGCTAGAGCACACATTGGGCTACACAAGCTGCAGATGGCTGTACGTGAGACTGTGCATCCTTGTTCAGACCCTCTCCACTGCCCTCGACACGATTTCTCACTATTTCCTCTTTCTCCAAACCTTCAACACTTCCTTCCCCTAGATTCCCACTCTCAACTTAGGACCTTGAATTCTAACTCGCTGAGAAAGAGGAGAAACCTGAACACCCACACATTGCAGCCACCACAAGTGCCTGGCCACCAGCATTGTTCCCCTCTGCCCTGCAGCTGGACCAGCTACTGCCCGTGCCCTTTCCCTGCTCCAAGTCAGAGAACATTCTCTCCCCGTAGCCCTCTCTCTCTGAAGGCTTTGTTCCAGTGGTCCACCCACCTCCCAACTGTCAGTGTTTCATCTTGTACTTATCATTCCCATCACCATATCTGCTGCTATTTTCCTACTTTTAGAACACTCTTACCCCCACTTTCCGTACCAGCAACCGCTTCACTTCTTTGTTTCCTTCTGCAGCGAAATACCTACAAAGAGTTATCTAAATATTTTGTTTCCAATTCCATTCCTTCCTTATACCCACTTCAATTAGTTTTCATCCTCACTCAGATTGCAAGGTCATTGAAAACCCCTGTGTTGCTGCAGATAACGGCTGGCATGCATTGTGCTGGAGGCTCTGCAGCCCTGCACCTGTCAATCACTCTCTTATTCTGGAGAACACTTTCTCCACTTGGATTTCTAGCATGCCACGCTCTCTTCATTTTTCTCCTTGCTCCCTGGTCTCTCCTCTCAGTCTCTCTGGCTGGTTCCTCCTCTCCACCCTGACTCTACACAGAGGAGCGTTTGGAGGACACTTCTTGGTCCTCATTTCCACCAACTCACTTTGGTCATCTCACTCAGTCCAGGGGCTCTATTTTTAAAAAATTTTAAAAATATTTTACTTACTTATTTGAGAGAAAGAGAGAGAGCATGGACAGGGCTAGGGACAAAAGAAGCAGCAGACTGGGGCGCCTGGGTGGCTCAGTGGGTTAAGGCCGCTGCCTTCGGCTCAGGTCATGGTCCCGGGGTACTGGGATCGAGCCCCGCATCGGGCTCTCTGCTCAGCAGGGAGTCTGCTTCCTCCTCTCTCTCTGCCTGCCTCTCTGCCTGCTTGTGATCTCTCTGTCAAAAAAAAAAAAAAAAATCTTAAAAAAAAAAAAAAAAAAAAAAAAGAAGCAGCAGACTCCCCATGGAGCAGGGGGCCTGATGTGGGGCTCCATGCCAGGACCCTAAGATCATGACTGGAACTGAAGACAGATGCTTAACCGACTGAGCCACTCAGGTGTCTTTTTAAATAATACCTGTAAGCTGACTCCCAAATGTGCATTTCCCACCTAGACCTGACCTCTGAACTCAGGCTTGTATGTTCAGTTCCTACTAGATACTTCTGTTACTGCGCAGAGAAAGGGTTCTGAACTCAGGTAGGGCTACACCCTCCTGGAAAACCAATACTTGAGATGCCAGTGCTTCAGGGAAGGGAAAGGTTGTTCTATTTCAGGAAGCGGGCAACCTGGGAAGACGGTGGACTAATGCCCCGAAGACCATCCTCCCTCTCCAGGTGAAGCCGAAAGGGCTTAAAAGGGAAGGCAGGGTAGTGGTGGGGACAGGGAAAGGGGCTGCTCCGTGGAGGAGAAGCAGGTGCCTTGGCAGTTAGTCCAAGGTGGACATGACCCTGAACAGACTTGCTGGCATCAGCTGCAGCTGTTTTCCAGTGCGGTCAGGCTTTATCTTCTGGGAAATTCTGGTCCTTCACTCCTCAAGGCCAGTGGTGTGCAAGTCTCAAGGGAAGTAGGTTAGTCCCCTGCACACCAAGGGACTTGGGTCAGCAAGCAAGGAGAGCAGAAGCTTGAGGCAAGTTAGCTCTTAAGACTGGCTGTTACTTGCACTTGGGTAGACAAAACTGAATTCCTGATCTACACCCCTTGCCCCCAACACACACAGCACTACCTGCGGCCCCCCTCAACCCAGTTGATAGCAGCTTCTTCATTTTCCTCGTCCAGGCAAAAAAAACATAGGGTTCTTCTTGACTCTTCTCCTTGTTTCTCATGCACCACATTCACCCAGAAATCAAGATAGTTCTACCGTCAGCACATGCCCAGAACTGGTCCACATCTCGTTTTTTCCACTTCTTCTTCTTTTTTTTTTTTTCTTTCGTTTTTCCACTTCTGATCACAGGTCCACATCTCCGTCATCCCTCAGCTGCATTTACTGAGATTGCCTTCCCACTGTTCTCTCTGCTTCTCCCCTCACATCTGTGGGCTATTTCCAACACAGCAGTCAT